TTTAGGGTTTAGGGTTGAGGGCAAAACTGACCCTAACCCTCCAGGTACCTACTACAAAGGGGCCCTGGAGGCTCTAGTGCCCCATCTAGTAGGCACCTGGGGGGGTTAGGGCGATGTTTGGTTTAGGGGTTTAGGGTTTAGGGTTTAGGATTTAGGGTTTAGGGTTTAGGGTTCTTGGTGGTAACCGTGCAAACAAAGAGATCCTGTGCAAAGATGCTCATTGTTGTAGGGTTGGGCTTAAGGGTGGTTCAGCGTGGTCGTTCCCCAGAAGCCCCGGCAGTAGAGATGTGCGTCTCTAGCTGTAGGTATACTTATCCGAAAGAGCCCTAAGCACCTGTATAGTAGGATCTAAGTACCTGTATAGTAGGATGTAGGGTTCCTAACATTCGGAATCACCGAAAGTATCCCCCATAACAGTACACCTATAGATCCCTTAAAGGAACCCTTTAGATCCGTTGAAGGAACCCTTAAAGGAACCCTAAACACTAAACCCTAAACCCTACACCCTAAACCCTAAAACCCTAAAACCCTAAGCCCTAAACCCTAAAGAACTAAATCCCTAAACCCTAAACCGGTACCGGGGACCCGTTGGGTTATGACAGTTTCCTTCAGGGCTATCTGGAACCTCTGGGCAGTAACTCGGAGCTGCTAGGGTAGGGCTTCGGGTTCAGGATGATAGGGCTAGGTTTCGGGTTTAGGGTTTAGGGCTTAGGGGTTTATAGGTACAGGTTCTAGGGTTTAGGGTTTAGGGGTTTATAGGTCTAGGGGTGAAGGAATAGGGTGTAGGGCTTAAGTTGCTGACAAATCCCTCGCCTCCAGAACGACCCTGAAGCCCTAAACCCTGGAAACAATTGAAACCTGTCACTCCTGATCTCGGAAACCCTGAAGCCCAAAACTCCCAAACCCTAAAACCCCCAAAATCCTAAACTCCCAAACCCTAAACCTCTGCAGCCCAATGCTCCTAAACCCTAAAACACTAAAACCTCCAACTGACAAACCCTAAAACCAACAAAAACGAAACTCCAGCACTAACTTCCGTGAAGCTGCTGTGGGGAGAGGTTGATGTTGAAATCTCCACCCATGATGATATACTCGTCTTTGCTGGCGAACATGGCTAGCTGACCTACAGAGTGGGTCTCTGACAAAAAGGAACTGACAAGGGCTTAGGGTTGAGGGGTTCCTGACTTCTGCTGCTTCGGGGTTGGAGGTTAACTCAGGGCTTAGAGCCTTGCATTTGGGGTGTAGGGTGTAGGGTTTACGGTTTAGGGCTTAGGGTTTAGGGCTAAGGGGTTTACTCTCTTCTTCAACAACCAGGCCCGAACAAGTTCAAACTTTTTTAGATAGACCTAATAGAGAAGGCAAAAAGTTTAAAGTTCTCCTACTGGCTATCTGGTGGATCTCGAAAATAGGGGACCCTAATGTAGTCCCCCAAATAGTAGGATCCTTGTTATAAGGACCCCGATTAAGGTACCCCTTATTTTCGGAAACTCCCATCTAAGTTTAGGGTTGATGACGGTTTACGGTTCAGGGCTGAGGGTTTAGGGGCTTAGGGTTTAGGGGTTTAGGGCTTTAGGCGTTTAGAGCTTTAGGGGTTGAGAGCTTTAGGGTTGATGATGTCAGGGTTCAGCGGAGACTGAGACGACCAAACGCCTCCCCGCAACCAGGCGAGACAGCTCAGAACTAAGACGGCCACCCAAACTTGGCCAGTACCGGACGTGGGTTGAGGCTTTTAGGGTTTAGGGTAGAGAGTCCTTTCTGTTAGGGTTTTAGGGTTTAGGATTTAGGGTTTTAGGGCTTCGGGTTCAGGGCTTGGGGCTTCGGGCTCAGAGAGAGTTTAGGGCCAAGTGTCGGGTTTAGGTAAGCACTGCAAACCCCCGATACTTACGCAGCACTGCTAAGCGAACTGAAGAATCTACACCCTAGTGGGGGCGTCTAGGACATTCTTGCCGGGTTTGGGCTTTAGGGGCAGGGCCTAAACCCTAAACTCTAAACCCTAAACCCTAAACCCTAAACCCAAAACCCTAAACCGGGGGGTCTAGGACATTCTTGCCGGGTATGGGCTTTAGGGGCTCGGAGCCCCACTCCTAAGCCCTAACACCCACATCACAAGCCTTTGAGGACCCTTAACCCTAGGGTTTAGGGTTTAGGGTTTAGGGTTTAGGGTTTAGGGTTTAGGGTTTAGGGCTCTTGGGCCCAAAGACTATACTATATAAGGCTTTTGGGCTATTTTGATCCCTAGGGTAAGAGCATCCCTGCAGCAAGGAACACTAATCGGAACACTTCTGGGAGCCTTTATACTTGAACCCTCAACTCTACACCCTAAACCCTAAACCCTAAACCCAAAGGCCCTAAACCCAAAATCCTAAATCCTAAGGCCCTAAACCCCACAAACCCTAAACCCTAAACCCTTACTAAACCCTCTGTAGCAGCCTCTCAGCTGATGTAGTTCGTGTGCGCGCATCCTGGGCCCAAGCCGTCTCTGGTCCGCTGAAACGGGTGGGGTTTAGGGTGTAGGGGTTTTAGGGTTTAGGGATGTTTAGGGTTTACAATGTAGGGTTTGGGGGCACAGGTTTTAGGGTTTAGGAATTTTAGGGTTTAGGGTTTACAATGTAGGGTTTGGGGGCACAGGTTTTAGGGTTTAGGGGTTTTAGGGGTTGAATAACAGCTTCGGGTTAGGGTTCAGGGATTTTGTGGGGCTCAAGTTCGCATTCCCTGCATAACTAGCTACATCACCAACAACCCACAACATCCAGGCTTTCCCTGGTCTCGAAACCCTAAACCCTAAAC